GGCTGTAGTTGTGTAGAATGGTCCTTTCGAGTTTTTGCATTACGGCTTCAGCAATGAATCGGGATATTGGCGAACAAGTGAACATCATATTATACCACCCGAGCTACAAAAACAACAATCAACATCGCTGTTTACCAAACCCTCATATATATATATATATATAACGTTCCGAGAGAGACATCATACATATTTGTTCCACACCTGATAGTTAAATGTTCGGTCTCCCAGAGGGATTTACAGACAATGACCTATACCATGTACTTGACTATTCATTTTTTAATCAAAGCGTAAACGGTACAACATTGTTTTCAATCTAAATCATTAGCCCCAAATTTCTCTATAAATTTGTTACAAAAAGCTGACTGGAATGTTTTACGTGATCCTGAATTGAACCGAGGAAATTCGATTCGGATCTATAATAAAATTATCCTTGAGTTGATTGAATAAAGTATGCGTTTAAAATCGATCCTGGACAAAATTGGTGACAATGTTCAACTTTGGTTTACACTGTTTTTCTTTCTCTTCAAGTTTCAAAGCAGATATACCGCGGTTTTTTTCAAGGCTATCTGATCAAAGACACTTACCATCTTTTTGGAAGCTGACTGTTTGGACAGAGCACGTAAATGCAAATCGAGAACAGTCGGATCCGATTGATTGGCACATGGTTCATCCAGGACAAGTAAACCAAGATTATCCGGTTTCCCATCCGGTCTGGGCACCTGTGTGGATAATCGCATAATTTCATTAGTTAATAGTCTCCCTAATCCCATAGTTAACAATCAAAGCATTCCCAAATCTGTATCTGGTAAATACCCTTACCCATAACCTGTCTGGGTCTTCTCATATCATCAACGTTTTCACAAAAGTTAGAAAACTGTCTTTCTATGCTTACAGGCTCAGGAAATTGGCCGTATCACATAACTTTACTCTTAAATTTTTTTCATTCACTGCATTCTTCGACATTAGCCATACTGCTCCCCGATTTTTATTCCTAGACTGAAAGAGAAAGATTTCACTTCATTCTCGGGATCGCTTAAACTTTTGTTCCGCTTCAGTGGAGTTGATAGAGTTATTTTAGTTGATTTATTTATCTCAAAACACATTGACGCTTGTGATACATCTATAGATAGGAATACCACGTGATCAAGGACACTGTCTGCACCCAGGTATCGAGAAAGCCCAGTTAAATTTCCGAAGTCACTCCAAATATCAATTTCTTCTTGCGGGTACTTCCACATATAGAAACAGTGTAATTCCATATCGTCAGAACATTCTCACCCACCTTAGGAAAAATTTGTGCACAAATTTTTCTCTGAGTTACTAAAGTGTAGAATATCTTATAGGGTCCTTTTCGTTTGAAATTGGTTTTATCTATCCACTGTAAAAATCGTAAAATGCTAAAATTTCACCATTTGGGTGCATAAAGCTTTTCCCAACTTTAACTCTTATTGACGTTTACGGGTGGTGAACGCATGCGCTTTGGATGTCATCACTCGAGGGACAATTTCCGCTTATGTGGTTTGATGGTTTGATGGAAACCAAAATATTTCCGGAAAGAAAGTGGATCGCAAAACGCAGTGAGGGGTGAAGGTGAGGATAACTCTTAAACACACAAATCATCTATTTGGAATCCACACATTAGAGTTTACGGTACATCCCTATCAGTTCGTAGTACACCTCAGGCTTCAAGAGAAATCTTGTGAAGGGAACACATCTGGTCCCATCATTCGGAACTAAGGCCCGAATTCAGCCTCAACCCAAAAAATGTTTTAGCAAGGATCGTGAACATTAGTGCTCAAAAGTAAATGCTGCCTCAAGAAATAGTCCAGATTCCATCAAGTAGCTAGTGACCTGCGCATGCCATGACGAAGAAACAGCAGTTAGATATGCACAGACCATCGGTGATGCGTAAAACAGATTTTGATCACTGTTCGAAGTGCTTTAAAAAGCAATTCACCTAGTTTTGCGATAGCCTATTTGGCTCTAATAGTTGGAACTTTATGGATGAGGCTATTTGCACGTGAAACGTCAAAACCTTGACGTGTTATCTGTGGGCTACTGATGAAGGAGGTTGGACCTGACAGACTTTCTGTCTGTACTGCGGAAACAGCTCAGTTTATCTCTTACCACCATCAACCTTGTATTTTCGTTTGATGGTTTTCGGCTGATTTATTGAGCCGGTCATTGTTGACGAAGGGGTAGATAGAAAAAATAGCAATCTCATGTGAGTACCGGGGTAAACATACAGAATTCGGGTAAACTAAATTTGCCACGAAATTGCGAAGATTAGATTCACGAACGATACACTCAAACCTATGCTCGTCCGTATCGTTCAAGACCTCTTAACATCGATACAACTGATCATTAGGTATCCAACCTGAACTTTTAACGGGACTTGAAGGTTCAAGTTCAGCTTTCAGAATTGCTATACTTTTAGGCTCTTAGACCATGTTCTGATCACCTTTTTCTTTTATCAACCACTTACGTGCTTCAGCAAACGTTCGTCATCCTGGGGGAGCCTACCAACCTGGTGACATGTAACACATGTCAAAGCAAACTCAACCTATGAAGGTCAAATTAGGCTCCACTGCGCGATCAGAATTATCTAATACCCTTTGTCTAAACACACAACATTGTTTATTCGGTTGCCCCATAAAATTCCAGCAAGGCGACGTGGATAGCAGTACTTGTAAACCAATAATCTGCATATTTATTCTTCTCGCGTGATGGTTCGGTCTCTGTATCACACAATAGAACCAATCAGACAACCACGGCATACACTCGAAGCTTGATGAACAACCGAGTGTAGCGAGAGAAGAGGGAAGGCGGGCAAAAGTATCTCACCTTGACAAACATTAATCGTCGCATTCGATTTAAAGTTACTTGTGAGTAGTATGTGTGTGGAATAATTGAAACTGATGGATATGACTGACTATCTTTCGGATTTCACCTTCACGCACAATCCTCAGTTCACCGCTTCAACCATACACTCGGAAGCATTAGACTATTTGGGTTTCGCTCTTATTAGAGCTCTTCAATAGTGCATATCCACCGTCTCGTCCCGGATTTGAACTTCGGACCCATCGCATGGAAGGTGTGTGTTACCACTGCTCCAGCCAGCTCATGACATGGCTGAACCAAATTGTCCATTCATGTCTGTTCAGGTGTTGTCCTCAGTGTATGGTTGAATCGATGAATCGATTGTGCGTGAAAGGTGAAGTTCGAAGGAAATATGTTCAGTTCAAACCAATCAATAAACACTAATCAAGCTGTTTGTGTGCATACGTACGCTTCGCCCGAGATTTGTCCGCCAAGTGAGATGTGGCTGTCGGAATGGCGAAATTTGTCTACCATGCCTAGTGTCTCTACAGTTAGGTTGAGGTTGAGAGTTGGATCCATTAAGTTTTGTGACAGTATAATTCCACACATCGAACATTGATTGCTACATTAAGACTCAAACCAACCGGACGAGCTTTGCAAGTTCTCTTGATCGCAAATCAGTAGTGCCATTTCATCTGATTACTACAAATCAAACAGCCCCTGTCACCTGGAAGCACACTGCTACGGTTGCACATTCAGCGAATTTCTATTAAACATACCTTGTTCGCTTAAGACAATGAAATTTTATTCAAAGGCAATTTAAACGACATTAGATATTTCGAAAAGGAGTAGTCTCAAATTATATAAATATATAGCCAAGGCTTAGGGGCAAGAGGGGTATCGATTGTAGAAAATGAGGAAAAACAGTTTACAATCAATAAAAAGTTTGTGATCTCGTTCGCTTGTCCCGAACACCACTGAATGTCAGAATGTAATTTTTCATCGCCTTTGGGACTCTAAGACCCCATCTGTGTGTGTTGAAGATCAAGTTCCCCTACCTTGAGATATCTGGGAGCATTTTTAACTCATAATCTGCTATTTTTCATGCATATTCACGGGAAGTTTTGTACGGCTAGAAGACTGTCACTTTTCGCTCTCAGGCTAAGAATGCCGTCTGTATCATGTAACTTAATCCTCAGCTCTATAAAGCTTGCATCAATTCGCAATAATTGGATTGTTCATTTATTGTGTGTTCTTGTTCCCTTACAGAAAATGTTATCCGTCTGAGAAAATCCGTATAACAGCTATCAAAATGCAGTGGACTTTCTGGAATGATTTTTGTAGATAATATTGTTACTTTACACGCTATGGCATCTAAGAAAATTTTCTCTTCTGTGCTTATAGGCGTTTCACATCGTTTACATCATGAACTGTATAGAGTCGTGTCCACTTCTGCCACACGANTAGTTTTAACGTTTTTCTATCATTGTACTTTTTGTCCCAACGATCCCATTCTCCTGTAGAAATGGTGTCTCCTTGTCAAGTCGTAAAATATATATTATTATATTTTTAATTTGTCTGAGACCACACTGTGAGCCGGACAAATCATGGTACAATAATCTTTATGAAAAAGGAAAACGTTCCACGATTTGCATGTGGGCCGAATACTGCCAGGTTGCCAAGGCAGGTGAAGTTTCTTGAAGAATACACAACCGGAGCCTTAGGCTAACCAGTCTGACCCGCAAGGCAGCGGGGCGGTGTGTGAAAACCGCAGTCCATTGGGAGCCGGTGTTCAATTCTTCTGATCATACGCCCTTTGAACGGAGTCAAACGTCCACGGTGCCCAATACACCTTGATGCCCAATTGAGCCGGTGACCAATTCTACGACCAAAATGCTGCAAGTGTGGCTCGTACGCCTACTCTTGGTTGGTTTGGAGTCAGGATTTTTGGCCGACTCCCTTAGGTGAACCACCATTGGTCCACTAACCCGGTTATAGCCCCGGATGTCGGCTTTTTGTCCCACCACTTTGATGGGAAAACACCGCGACGAGAAGGCTTGGTCGCATGGGAGAATTTCACGAAGTGCAAGGGAAGGGTGACCAACCGCCATGCTAGACACCCACGCCCGACCATAATGAGGCTTTCGGAGGCCAACCCGTAAAAAGTAACCCATGAATTTCATCCGTGTTTGCTTGCTTAACTATAGTTTTACTTTCGACACAAATGTTTTCTTATTCAACTTGAATTCTTTTCCAAATATTCGCGCTAAAAAGAGATGCGAAAAGTTAAAAGGGAAAATTCACATGGTATGGGTGTGCAACGAGTGCATCGAGTTGATTTGACTTGATTACGTCACATAGAAATTTCCTCCTCAAAATGATACAAATACATATGAATAAGTTTTACAAATGAAGATTGACTCGTTATCACAAGAATGAGTACATGTAAGATACAGTTCTACTGGTAATGCTAAGCAAACTCACTTTTAAGAAGGCATCAATATCTCCAACAGCAGCAATATAATCCGGAATAAACGGTTTCAAATGCGTTTCCAATTCAATCACTTGAGGTGTATAACTAAAATAGTTGTCCGTTAATAATGAAGTACTGTGGGGATTTTACCGTTGTATGTATTCAAACATCTCCTTGATTTCAGCGGACACGACTAAATGTTCATAGTCTGCCGGATTGTACGCTCTGAAATAAAGTCGGAATATAAAATGATTCTCATGATCATAATAATCAGACACAGACACAAGAGTTTTACCAATCTCGGATTAAAAATTCGTTTCCTTAGTTTTCACAACACGTCACCATGAGGAGCTAACGATCCTTCACTTTAGTGTGAACCACTAGAGCGTTTAATGGGCATGGGATCGACTTATTTGCACTAGTGTCCGTGTTTGTGGTGTAGTGAAGGAACGAGCGCGGCCATTTTGAATGGACTGTGGGTCCTGTGCATGTCTCCAAGGAGAACCTCCTGACGAGAACGTGTCTTACCTGTGCATTGACAGTGTCGCTGAATAACCTTGAATTGTGCAGCTTTTTTGGGACAACGCTAGTTGTATAAGAACCCGGATTGTGTTGCCTGGAGTCAACCTCCGGCCAGTGTGCTTCGAGTGGATTCAGAACTGGGATTGTCCGTTCTGCATACCACAGTAGTGCAACTACCTCGGTATAGAAACGAACTAACCGGAGTTTAGCCGAAAAGTTGTGTTTCAATATAGGAAAGGTCGACATCAAGTTTTATAGCATCGTTTCACACTCTGACGGCCTAAAGTGTATACAAAAACGAGCAAGCAAACTTTCTGATCTGTGAAGTGAATCTGAGAAACGATATCATCGGCACCAATCAAACTCTTTATTTTATTCCTGTTATATTCTATATTGTTTCCTGTATGAAAAGAATGACAAAGC